TAAATTTTGGGCAATCGTGGCATTAATTTACAAGTGTATATGTAGTTGCACACTTTGTGTTCCGGCAATGTTTCAAGATGTCGGATCTTTAAGTCAAAATTTAGATGGACAAGAAATAAAGAAGGGGTAAAACTAAAGTCTTCAACTCTAAACAAAGGTCCTGGTAATTTATGCTCAATCGAAACCAGGGGATCTACGAGCATTTCCTTCGAAGAAGAGGAGATAATTCCACCATCAGATGCTGGCTTTTAGCGCGTCGAGGACTTTGAGAAGACGTACCAGAGGACGGCGACAAGAACAAATTTTATCCCTCAGCCTGGGCAGAGTGCGCTGGCCGTACTAAAACGACCAACCTTCACCACCACCAAGAAGGGTCAAGTGGCGTGGAGGAAATCGCTTGTGAACATGTCGCTGACCGAAGAAACGTCGTCGGTCGATGAAGGACAGAGGCTACTAAAACAACAATTAGGCTTCGAAGTGATTCTTCTGGATGCAAATGTTTCATCGACCGACGAAGTTTCTTCGATCAGCGACAAGGTGCACCTGGAACTTTTCTCCAATTTCGCCAGACGGCGACACGTTCACCATATGAGCGATTTCTGCCGCGTCTCTAGACCCCTCTTGGTGAGGGTAAATGTTGATCGTTTTTGCATGGCCACCGCACTCTGTCCATGCGTGGGGTTGAGATTTGTTCGTGTGGCCGTCCTTTGGTAGAAAAGAGGTATCCCAAGCCCTGTAGACTGTACTGCGGGCACTACTGAGCTAACTGAGTCGGCAGTCATTCGTTCTCCGTTGACTGAGTACGTCTTCTCAAAGTCCTCGACGTGCTAAAAGCCAGTATGGGAGAATTTTCTCCCCTTCTTTGAAGGAAATGTACGTAGACTTCCTGGTTTAGGAAGAGCACGTTTTATACTTTTATTAGCATGGCCAGAGTACCGTTGTTTAGAGTTAAATCTCGACGTAAACGTCCGACATATTGAAACATTGCCGGAACACAAAGTGTGCCTACATATGAACAACTGTAAATTAACGTCACAATTCACTGCTCACAATTTTCAGTTGAGAGGACTGTTTAGAGGAGTGAAGATTGGGATTCCCGCCTTTATTTGACAGCTGTCCGTCCAAAAAGACCAAACAAAGGAAGAGGAAAAAGGTCGACTTTTTTTAACTTTGAAGAAAAAGGCAAAAAGTAGAAAAAACTCGAGAAATGTCTCTTTCCAGGTTTTTTGCGATTCGTTAGATATAAATATTACTCAAAAGTTGCTTCACTTTATATCGCAGAAAAATCCTAAACATATCCGGCTTTTCGTGAGAAAAGGGGGCACTTTTCTCAAGTTTCCATAATGGCGACTGGAAGTTAAAAAAGGGTTTCCTTTTTTCCGTTTTGAGTATAAAATACAAATAAAGATATTGATTTTTGGGCGTTTTTCATTTTCTTAATCTGCGTTTTTTGCAAAAAGTAGAATTGCCGGAACCGACCACTGATTGCAAGTAGCCTGAATTTCATCCGATTACTTCGAGTGGTTATTACTCCCTCAGTTGAGAGGAGAAAACGACTCGAAGCAATCGGATGAATTTCAGGCTAAGTCGCAAGGAGATGAGGAAGAAGTAAACCAATCACAAGGCGTGGGAACGTGAGTTGTTATTGGTTTAATCTTACGCTTCTTCTTCAGATTCCGACAGTCTGGTCTTTAACGGAGTCAGAAGAAAATGAAAACCATCCGATTCTTCCGACTCCGATGTCGTCGCGCTCACGACTATGCTTACGACTCCGACCTTTGATTTTCACACTGTTATAAGCGCTCTTACGACTCTGCTTGCAACTCCTAGACCGACTCAGCCGCAAGTGAAAACCAGCCTTTATGGGCCAAACTCCTTTTCAAGAACCCCCGAGAGTCTCACTTGACCTTCTGGCCTGCTTGAGGCATCAGGCATGGTTATATTTTGAGACCATTTAACAGACATACTAGAGCATAACCCGTGCAAGTAAATGTAAGAATGTATGACGCAGGTTACCGCTGTACGGTCTTGCATTAGGGGTTTAGAATGGTAAATTCGAGACTGCGAGACCTGGGTTTCAAAATGCGAGACTCCGAGATGCAAAATCACCCGAAAACGAGACTTCGAGACCTATCACAAACGCTTCCGAGATTTCGAGATCAGGCCAAAATTTTCCGAGACCTACGTTTTCCGAAGAAACATTATATACCTTAGTTATCATCTAATACATGGACTCACTCTGTGCTGGGCCGGTACGGGCTCTCTCGTCTCCCCAACCAGCTAAGGCATGTTTACTAATATAATGTGTTTCCTTAATCTAAGTAAGTATTGTGATTCTATTGTTTCCGCAATGATCACGTATGAAGTATAAAAGCTGGAAGTAGGTATAAATTGATTCGAACTAAGGCCAGTTTTCATAGCCACGTCCGCAAGCGAGCTGCACAAGTGTTGCATGCTGTCCACTCTCATTTTAGATCACGTTAGTTGGGTAAGTTCTCACACTTAACACTAGAAGTTCGTTTTATTTAACCAACATTCATTTCTCTCAGGTTTGTATTATTTCCGCGTTTGTTAAAGCACCACAACAAGCACTCTGGGGGCCAATCACACCTCCAACCAAGGGCAACAGAGTTCGATTTTCAAATTTTCAGTTACACATGTGAAGAAACAGACAAATTTCTCTTTGTTACTGATGATGGTAGTGCTACATACTCTCGTAGTCAGCTTGGGTATTAGTAACATTAATTCAAGAGATTACAGTCACGGTTAATGTTCAGAGTTCAATCCTGAATTGTAACGGGGTTTCACATGTAACAGAAAGGAACTTATGAAGAAAAAACTAAACGTTTAAAAGTTTAACATGTACCTTGTAATACGTATACCTTTAGTAAAGTAATATCTAGTAAATGAGGGATACTCTCAGGCCGAATGTCTCCCCAACCATCTACCAGCTAGGGCATGTTCACTAATATTCGTCTATTGTGTTTCGATCCCTTATGTAAGCACGTATTGTGATTATATAGTTTCCAAACTAAGGCGAGTTTTCATAGTCAAGTCCGGAAGCGAGCTGCACAGGTCTTGATGTCCACTTTCATTTTAGATCACATTATTTAGGTAAGTTCTCACTCTTAACGCTAGAAGTTCGTTTTATTTAAACAACATTCATTTCTCTCCGGCTATTTCCGTTTTTGTCAAGGCACCATAACAAGCGCTCTGGGTGCCTATTCACACCTCTGAACCAAGGGCAAAAGAGTTCGATTTTGAAATTTCCAGTTAGAGATGTTTAAAAACTGACAAATTTCTCTTTGTTACTGATGATGGTAGTGCGACATACTCTCATAGTGAGCTTGGGTATTAATGGCATTAATTCAAGAGATTACAGTCACGGTTAATTTTGTTGAATCAAAATTGTAACGGGTTTAACATGTAGTTATAATACGTGATACCTTAAGTAAAGTGACATCTAGTGAATGAGGGATACTCTCAGCCCGAATCTCAAATAACTCAGTTTTCAGTGTCAGTAAGAAAGTCAGCTTTTCGCCGACTCATTTTTGGGGGACTTGCGAGTCGGCTCCTACTCTAGGCAAGTCAAGAGAATTAAGAGTTCAGAGGTGGAAGTAGCGATTGTCTAAAAAAGACAGAATGGCGGATAGAACGCCCATTCCCCTTCAATGGGGCCGATTTTTGCGGGGAGGGCAAGGGTCATTTCAGGTGGTCTGGCAAACTGGTTTAGAAGTCGATTTGGAACGAACACAAAATTATTGCTTAGAGTCATTGGCCCTATGTGACGCCAAATGATTATCAAAATATAGTATTCGATGAGGCAGTTAGCCTGCGCTGAAGCTGAAGAAACAACTCCCTTCCATGGTCCGGACGGGAAAAGCTTCAACTTTTATTTGCGTGTGAAAAGTCTTTCCTTTTAATTACAAGAAAATAATATGCTATTTGTAGATCGCCCGTCAAATTGAAACTTATTCGCTTGGGTAGCTAAAAGGGCTTTAAATGCGATATCCGACAGAATTGTGACTGAAAATTAATTTGCTTTGTGTGTTTTAAGAAACAGAAAATTACTGTTATATAACACAGGTTCGCACTTCTCCTGGAATTCCTGGACAACTCCTGGGTTTTTGAAATTTCTAACAAGGGAGGCCGAGTTTAACTCCTTTCCTTGTTTTCAATGTCCTTGAAACTTGAGACGATATAAATTGATAAAAATTGATAAATTGGGTAAAATCGGACAATAGCGCACTACAGATAGAGAATAGTAGAATCGCAAAAACTGAAAGAACTGTAGAATTGTCTTTAACACAAGCTTTCTCAGTCGCAGAATATTAAAACTGGAGGAAATCTGTAGCGCCAAATTGGAGAATAGTACCTCTAAATCCGTTTATACTATTTTCTAGCCTACCTGAAGCATTGGCAACCAATGGTTGAAGCGCTTTTCTAGCGTCCAAGCATGACTGCGCGTAATATGAAAGATCTACGAACTTTGCTGAACCGGAAATAAATGTCCCGAAAACAATAGGTATTCTTTGCGATTGGTAAACTTTGCTCAAAATTCCAGCAAGCAAACTTACGACGTAAATACGCACATAGTCCATCAATTACAAGAAATTCTAATGACCGACCAATTATAATCAAGTAATTATGCCCTGTTTTTGTTTTTTGGACAAATTACGAAAAAAAAATCCCTTTTCGTTAGCCCATCGGAATTAAGAAATTATGGCTGTTACGTTGTAGTAAATGTAATAGTTTTTATACAGGAGAATATCAGTGCAATAAGAATACGAATTACAAATGTTTTATTAGAGATTCACAAATAGGTTCCCGAAATGCTCCGTTTGACTTTCGTTTATACTTAACAACTTTTCTAAATATGAGGATTATCATTTTATTCTATAACAATTGTACGTTAAAATTACTTATTTATATCCCTCTCCTTGTCGTTGTCTCCCTCTTCCTCTTCCCTCTCCTCTTCATCATAATCATAATCATCATCATCAATCAAGAACAAGACCATCTACTTTCACCGTTGTATTTATCGTGCTCACATTGGACAGTGCAGTACCTCCAGAATCACCAATTCTGTTCCCACTCAAATCAAAACTAGTTAAGGAGGATTTGACGGCAAGGGCCTGGGAAAAAAACGCAGCTCCAGAATCACCAATTCTGTTCCCACTCAAATCCAGATTAGTTAAGAAGGAGTTGATTGCAAGAGCCTGGGAAAGAAACGCAGCTCCAGAATCGCCAATACTGTTCCCACTCAAATCCAGATTAGTTAAGAAGGAGTTGACGGCAAGAGCCTTGGAAAGAGACGCAGCTCCAGAATCACCAATACTGTTCCCACTCAAATCCAGATTAGTTAAGAAGGAGTTGACTGCAAGAGCCTTGGAAAGAGACGCAGCTCCAGAATCGCCAATACTGTTCTCACGCAAACCCAAATTAGTTAAGGAGGACTTGACTGCAAGAACCTGGGAAAGGGACACAGCTCCAGAATCAACAATCTTGTTCCAATTCAAATCCAAATTTGTCAAGGATGAGTTGACTGCAAGAGCCTGGGAGAGAGACGCAGCACCAGAATCGCCAATACTGTTCCAACTCAAATCCAAATTAGTTAAAGAGGAGTTGACCGCAAGAGCCTGGGAAAGAAACGTAGCTCCAGAATCGCCGATTCTGATCCCACGCAAATCCAAATTAGTTAAGGAGGAGTTGACTGCAAGAGCCTGGGAAAGAGAGACAGCTCCAGAATCGCCAATACTGTTCCAACTCAAATCCAAATTAGTTAAGGAGGAGTTGACTCCAAGAGCCTGGGAAAGAAACGCAGCTCCAGAATCGCCAATTCTGCTCCCACGCAAATCCAAATTAGTTAAGGAGGAGTTGGCTGCAAGAGCATGGGAAAGAGACGCAGCTCCAGAATCACCAATACTGTTCCAACTAAAATCCAGTTTAGTTAAGGAGGAGTTGACTGCAAGAGCCTGGGAAAGAGACGCAGCTCCAGAATGACCAATACTGTGCCCACGCAAATCCAAATTAGTTAGAGAGGAGTTGACTGAAAGGGCCTGAGAGAGAGACGCAGCTCCAGAATCACCAATACTGTTCCCACGCAAATTCAAATTAGTTAAGGAGGAGTTCACTGCAAGAGCTTGAGCCAGAGACGCAGCTCCAGAATTGCCAAAACGGTTCTCACTCAAATCTAAATTAGTTAAGGAGGAGTTGACTGCAAGAGCCTGAGCAAGAGACGCAGCTCCAGAATTACCAAAACGGTTCTCACTCAAATCCAGTTTAGTTAAGGAGGAGTTGACTGCAAGGGCCTGAGCAAGAGACGCAGCTCCAGAATTACCAAAACGGTTCTCACTCAAATCCAGTTTAGTTAAGGAGGAGTTGACTGCAAGGGCCTGAGCAAGACACGCAGCTTCAGAATTGCCAAAACGAGTCTTACTCAAATCCAAATTGGTTAAGGAGGAGTTGACTGCAAGGGCCTGAGCAAGAGACGAAGCTCCAGAATTGCCAAAACTGTTCTTACTCAAATCCAAATTAGTTAAGGAGGAGTTTACTGCAAGGGCCTTGGAAAGAAAAACAACATCATCTTCCCCTATTTCTGACTTCAAATTCAAATAACGAATGCGAAGGTGCTCTCCTAAGATGTAAACTAAACTTTGGTACTCTGATAAACAACCTAAAGAAAATACAAGACGCTTTGAAACGCCTTTCGCAGACTGAAGACTTATGATATTTCTAGCCATACATGTTACAAGAGACTCTGCGGTTTTCTCACTTGTTGAAACTAAAATTCCGATCATAAATAAAAAGACTTGATACAAATCGTTCTCGTATCTTTGGTCAGTCACCACTGATTTGCACTCAATTTCTCCCTCAGTGAGTTTGTAAGCAAGATAGAAACCAGCAAAGAATTCTTGAAAGCTCTTATGAAGAAATGCATACCGCACAACAACTTTCCTCTTACTGCCACCAGCCTGAAGTGAAAGGAATCCGAACTTGGATAAGACAATGAGGCCACCGTCAGATTTATGTTCTTCAAAATACAATTCTCCTTTTAGAAGAGATTCTAATGCCATTCTTCCAAGATCTATTAATTCTTTTTTGTAAACGGTCAACAGGTCTTCATTCTTGCTCGCTAAACCTTGCTTTTGTTCATATCTTCTTAAAACACAAAGAACAATCTCCGTGTACAATTCAGTTCTGCTCGTTGGAAACACGCCTTCAAAATCCTCACAAATAACACACAGTAAGGCAGTGTTTAAGGGACTTTTTGTCAATTCATTCAGGTATCTATCCTGTTTTGACTCAAATAGAAAGGGCACATGCCATATGCTTTTTAGAAGTTTCCAGGCCAAGTGCTCTTTGTTGATGTTTTTAAAGTATTTGAGAATAAAGCTTTCTGCATCCTCCATGGTAAATCCTTCAATTTCCCACAGAGTGTCAAAGTACCTCCTTACTTTACTTCCAGCCTCATGACGAGATGTGACAACAATGTAGCAACCTGAAAGTTCTTTACCTTGAACAAGGCTGGAGAGTACTTTGAGGTTACTCGGATCCACTTCATCCAGGCCGTCGAGAACTAAGAGAACTTTCGACTGATTTTCGCGAATGAATTTAAAGAAACATTCTTTAGCTTGATCTTGCATTTCCTCCGGTAAAATTTGATCATCAATAGCCTCCCAGATGCTGGTTTGAAATTCGTTACATTTGAGAAGCAGTAGCACTTCAATATCTGGAAAAGACGGGTCCCATTCATCCTGCTTAGTTGCCCAATCATACGCCAGCTTTTGACAGTATGTGGTTTTTCCCATGCCAGGATCTCCCTCGATCAAGATTGTTCGGGGGCTTTGACATTCTGCGTGCGCCTTAAAGATAGCAGTCATATTGGTTATCTCGTCAGTAAGTACTCCTCGGGACTTTTCTTTACCAAAGATTTTAAGTCTAGTAAACATATCATTCAAATGAAAGCTGAAATCTTCACACCAAGGGACAGGCAGAAGGCGTTGTTCACGTGTTCTATACAGTTGACGGATCTTCTCTAAAATGTCGCTTGGGTGTGACAAATCTAAAAAGATAAATATTCATTTAACCTCTTAGTTTGTATATTACAGAAAGCGCATGATTCGGGAAATATGACACTCTTTAAGAAGTACTTTGTGATTCTATTTTTAGTCCAATCAAAAAATTAAAAAAACAGATGGAAATATCCTGACCTCAATTTCACTGAAGCACTGGAATTAGGGATATAGACCCGGCATTACCGTCTGGTCAGTTGTCTCTTAAATCGCCTAGATTTCAATGTGGCATGTGGTCACAGCATTTTATAAGCCAAGTCAAACTTTTGTTTGCAGAAAGTCCGAACTGATGAAAGTTCTTTCAGTTACAGCATACTAGTGCTTCATAATGACGTCAGCAATGAGAAAGGAATGCCAAACACAAGAGTTCATCTTGTTGTCTTGACAAACTGAGCCAAATCCCCTAAGAACGTCTGCGTGGGAGGCTACTATTTCATGCTTCCGTGCAACAAGGAAAAGCTAAACTCAGGGTATCAAAAGCTTCATCTTTAAGCCTTACATTTAACTCACATTAATCAATAATTACTGTGGGCGACAAGAGGAGCCCATAATAGGCCATTTGCACTGAGAGGTCATGTGACATCATTTTTATGAAAATGAAAGTTGTATGATTTTGCCTTCGAAAAACGATCAGTGGGTCATATCTTAAACAAAATAATGGTGATTTGGTTTTTCAAACCCGCACCATTTTCTTAAAATGAGTAAGTTCGTAGCTGGTCACGTGACCAAAATGTGATTTTTAAAATTACACAAGTTCTGCACTTAAACTTCAAGGAAAATGTTGAAACGATAATGTGGTAACGTTTACAGCACATCTGAGTGTAACTATCAAACGTTTAACAAGATATAAGCAAAAAGTAGTTTTGGCCGAAATGTTGGAGGGCAAGAGTATGCCCTCCAACATGGCCGCCAATACAAATCATACTACTTTGTTGAAAAATCAAAGTGCCATAAAATATCTCCTTTAAATGCGTTTCCTCTCAAATTTCGGGTGTAGGATAATTTTTATGTGCTCTGTCAATTTTTGGCATTAGCAAGATTCCAACTCATTGATTAAAGGAAGCATTGGTCACGTGACCTCTCCATGCAAATGGCCCATTCTGATCTACAGGTTGAAATTACGTATGCATGGCACTTATGTAACCATGTAGCTTCGAACAGCTATGTTTGGACCTCCACTAAAAATGAATGGAACACACAGAACTGGCAATGCGATCACATGTGTTTTAACTACCTATCATGTGAAACTTCCGTAAAGCACAGAATTGAAGAAAGACTTAGAGCGTGGTAACTTTGAATCGCTGTCGCCCATACTCGTTGATTATTACTTCGGCGGAGCGCGAAGTAAAGGATTCGCGACGCTCAGGAATGTATCAAAGTTGCAATTTTTTGACGAGATTGGGCAAGCAAAGTCTGTGGGTTTTCGGTTCTGTTCGGCTATTTGACGCCGAATTAGTTCGAGATATCTCGAGATCACTTCGATTTCTTTGATATACTCTTTAACTTTTTCGAGGAAGAAAGAATTATTATTTGGGCTTTCTCGGGGTTTGAACCGACTCACCTGTGTGACCCGTCAGATCAGAGGAGACTCAAAGTTGAGGGATTAGTCGATTGCGCTACTGCGACCCAAGGTAGTTTGGATATGAAAAATAGTTATGAAATGGTGCACTAGTTTCGGGACAAGGTTGGGCGTGAAAGTTCGTGACTTTTCGGCTTGTTTCAACTATTTCACGAAATGAGACCGGACTACTTCGTGATATCTTGAGATCACTTCGAGTTTAGTCTTTAATTACTCGAGGAATAAATAGAGGATATTTCGTGGTCGCGCAGCGACACGAAATTTCTCTTCGAGTGTTGAAAAACATTTCACGAGTGAGCCCTCCGTTCGACCTGTTTTATGATGAATTTAAAGTTACAAAATGCTGCACAGACATTTTGTCTTTGTTGAGTGTTACGTAGTAAAATTTATTTCATGCGTTGCGTGACTTTCTCGAACGTTCTCTACGTTTTTGGATTATTTATGAATAATTAATTAGGGCATGTTTACATTTCAGCCTGAGTCAGCAGATTTGCATCAGTTACTGAAATCATAAAATATGTCGAAAAGCTACTCTATTCGCCTGTTTGGTATTTTCTAGAACCTTATGTCAAACGGTATTCAAGTTCCAAGCGAGTTCTTTTAACGAACTAAGTTTTTTCCCACGAGCTGGACTGCTATGTTTAGTCAAGTGTGACGAAGGTCGATTTTCAGGTTCTGTGTTTACAAGTTCGCGGAAGCCGTAAGATATCTGAAGTTCAAGTGAGAGTTTGTTATTATTGGTAGAGGTTGTTTAGTTTTACTCAAAGTTCAAGTCAAGTTTGTGTTGGCGGATGCTGTGTTTTAAAGCTCTGTAAAGGTTATGTTCCTTTGGTGTTAAACTTCCTTGTGTTAATCCGACATCCCTGCGTGCTGATAGCCAGTGAATAATTATCCTCAAAACATTCGAACTCGTGACTTTGAGTTTTAGCCAATTCCATGCTTAACGCAATTGACTCCTTACCCATGCCTTACATATCTTTAATCAGTACAGGAGACTGCTATGCTGTTTTTGAAGCCTGATGTGACTAAGAAAAATAGAGAATTGTTTTTTTAGAAGGATTTGTATGGCTAATATCTTGGAGACAATTTGTCCCGAAATGCTATTTTTTGGCAAGTAGGCCTCTTGGATGTTGCTCTTTTCAGAATATCCTGACAAATCCCATAATTTCACAAATTAACACCTTACTCTTACCATATTTGATTTCTTACTATTGCTCAGCATTTACAATTAATTAGTTCAACAACCACGACGCCGAAGTGTACGCTCCGTAGCGTCTTGTTACTATTTTAAATGTATACCTAAAAGAATGCTTACTAAGATTTCTGTTAATTGTTAGGTATCAAGACTGCCGAGCAAGTGCAGCCAAGATGCTCTGAATCTTTGATACACCCAATTCAATTGAGGTCGCTTTGACAATATTGGTCATTAGCGATTGGGCATTGGGTATTTCAGCATACAGAACAATTCGATGATTTGCTTGAGTGACCACCAAACAATAGCTTGCCAGTGCCCAATTACCAATGCCCAAAGCAACCTTTATTGAGTCAGTTATATAACAGCAAGATCAATGCACACATAATACTAAAGCTAACCTGACTCATTAAATTCACTTTCGAGTTCACTCAGCTTGTCTTTGATATCGTCCTCCACTTTCTTCCACTGCTTTAGAAGTTCCCTGAAATGTTCTTCCTCCAGAGGGTCCATTTCCTGATCCCTTATTTCGTCAATGGCATCTCCATAATGGGCTCCTCCCAATCTCAACAAAGTGTCACGAATCTGCTGCCAGTAGTTACTGAACACAGCATCATTGATGAAGCCCTCTCCAGCATGTTTAGACACAGCATTCATGAAACACCTAACACGGGCAATGTCAGACTCACGACTGGTGTCTGCTGTGAGAGGAGGTGTGTCCCAGCCAGCGGGTGGAGGACTCAGGTTACATATCGTCCTTAAGAGCACCATCAAGAGGGGGATATCAAAGCTTGCAGATGTCACTTCAGAGGATGAAGAAGGATACAATTTACTCCATTGGAGTGAGTTTAACACCCCTTGCTTTCGAAGTAACAACAGTTTAAAGTGTGCTTGATGTTTCAAACACCTATGAAGACTCTGTGGTGGAATTATTTTGTCAAAGGTTGCTCTGAGTGCCTTTGAACCCAAGGTGATTAGAAGACGACATAAATGGGGATAATTTAATCTCTCATTAGTGCAAGCAAAGTGAGTTGATTCAGGATCTATAAGGCAGAATGACAAAAATTCATTAATCAAAATTTTCACTTTTTATGGTTGCTATAAGTAATTAACCGTTGCCAAATTCTACAAGCTTTTTAACTACAGGGTTTGAGCAGACTTATTCCAAAACAATACTTTACTTTTCCAGATAATTTCAAGGTGAACAAAATTAATAGGTGATCACTTAAAGACCTTGAAAAACACCGGATCCAAGCTTTTTTCATGATGCACTGTAAACATATCGTAAACAAGGTGCAATGTGGACATTCTGTGATTAAATGTCTTCAATACAGGGGAGATTGAATGGAAATTGACCACAGGGAAACAATCACTTATTAAGCAATTGTTGTATACCTATGAAAAAAAGGTCCAGAGTTTTTACTATTTTTCCAGAGACTTTTTTTCTATTTTTCAAGACCTTTTCCAGGTGTTACGGGTTATGCTTTCAACTGACAACCCTGCAAATGGCAACTGGAATTAAGGCTTTTACCTCTTAACATGCCATGACACTGCCATGGGTCTACCATAATATTTAGTATTACTAGGTGTCTAACCCTTATAGAGACAATTTGTTGGGCAAAACCACTGCCCACTCCTGATTGCTGTCTGACACCCAAAAAACACTTTCAACCAAGCTCTCAAATGTATGATGGAAAATATTTTTTTGCAGAAAAAAAAGAAAAATAAATAAATAAATAATAAAACGATAACAATAAGAATAAATTTAATAGAATTCAATTCATATTTTAAAAAATAATAATATTTATTACTTGACATTGTGCAAATTAATAAAGTAATACATGATTAAAATAATGTACATGATCAAATTGACATTCATACCGTGAACCCAACTGATCATCTTCTCAGTAAGATCTTTAATCTGTTTTGCCCAGTTGTACTTTTTGTCGAAGGAATCACGCAACCTTTTCGCTTCCTCCAGTCGACTTTTCCTGTCCTTGGCCAAGATTTTCTTAATAGCTGAGGTCCAGTCAGCAGGTTCATTTGAGTTAACAACATATGTTGAACCAAAAGGTACACTGCACAAAGCTTCTCCAAAACCAGAGTTGCCACTGACAAGCACAGGCAGACCAGCTGACAGGGCCTCAAGTCCTGTCAATCCAAACCCTTCTGTTCTTGAAGGCATGATTACAAGATCCACTTCTTGAAACAAGTCCTTCAAACTCTCTCGCTCTTTAACAAATCCTCTTACTCTCAAGCGCCTTTCAGGAACACCACATTCAGTCAACCAGTTTGCTATTTCTTTGTGTTTTCCATCTGGAGCTCCAACAAACACAAGACGAGTATCTTCTAATGCAGCAATTGCTTTTCCTGCAATGTCAAACCCTTTTAATTCAAAATCTTCTACGTCTCCTCGACCAAACACTAAGACACTACGTTGTTGCCGTTCACTAGGAACCTGCTTCAAGGCTGCAAACTCTTCAAATATTCCAGGAGTGAAGTCAAGAACAGTGTCATCTTTTTTACAGCTACGTAGATATGAGCGGAAGGCCTCACTCAACTTGGGTCCAACTCCTACAACATGATCTGCCATTTTACACAGTTCTACTTCAGTCTTGTGCTTTTCTTCGCCCTTTGAAATTGGGTTGGAATAGTTTTTAAACATCCCAAGTTCTTCAGGGTCTGTGTGCACCACTTGAAGCCATTTGCACTTTTTAGATTTTTTTATGATTTGTACTTGTTTACCAAGTTTAACACCATGACCCACAATAATATCAATTTGCAGATGATCTGGAGGGAAGCTAAGCCAGTCCAATTGTTCATAGCCAAGTAGTGGTGTTGCCTCCACGATCTTCACATTGTTTTGTAAGGCAACTTTCTTGTCCTCTTGACTGCATTGTGGTAAAAAGAAAGTGATTTCCACTTCAGGGCATTTGGCTAACTGAATGGCTAATTCTCTGTTTATGGTAGAAAGCCCTCCTTTGCTTGATCCCCATTCAGAAGCCAATATGGTGACTTTCACTTTGTGAGAGCCACACACTCGGTCATCACTCATGCCTGTTTAAACTCTTTGTACAGAAGATGCTGTTACCAAATATCAAAGTTGCACTACAAAATGATAGATAAAAACAGAGAACAATATATTATGATAAACATTTTCAAAACTTCTATACTACCTAACTTCCAAAATTCCAGCTAGGGTTCTTTTCAGAACACTAAATGGCTGCTGAATGGCAAATGACTCTGAAGTTTATAGTGATTATATAGTGTCATATAGTTTGCATGCAGTCTCTTACATGTGCGCATGCAGATTAGCATGCTCTACACAGCTTAATGCTCGCTGAAATAAAAGCTTGTAGTGTTTCCTGCACTGAGTCTTCTTGAATGTGACAATATCCTGATCCAAAACCACAACTGAGTGAATCAGGTTCTGTTTAAGGTCATTATATACTGAGCAAACCGACCTGAAAATTGATTCACTCAGTTTCCTTACCCTAATCACTAAACTTCAGAGTCATTTGAATGCCATTTGTTCCTGGCACCAAAATTCCTAACTTGATATTACCACACTTCCATCAGGATTGTCAGAAAGTTTTGAAGTAGAAGGCTGAGTTGTCAAAGTAAGCGGCCAGTCCAGGGATGTCTTAGTTAAAAAATGCCATATGTAAAGAACTGCCAAGCAAAGTAGCCGGCCGATACTAACCAAATAGGCGGCGATTTTCGCCAGCAACCGGCTACTTTTGACAACCCTGTTCCATACTGCCAAACTTCCACACTTTAACACTTCTTCCACACTTTTGTGACCCACAATCTGGCACTTACAAGTAAGAACATACATTATGTTAATAGATGTAATAATCATGAGTCAGTGCCCATGGTTACTTGGAATAAACTTTCCTTTTGGATGAAATTTATCAGAGGCCAAATGAGACAGCTACATGTATGCGCGTGCGCTGCAAATGAATCCACCCTCTGACTAAAGGATAATTAAATAGAAACTAGTGGCAATTTATATGCAAATTTCATGCTTTGTGAATACAAATAGATTCATTCCAAGTATTAATTACATAAAAACCTACTCATAGTCATGATCTCACCTTTAGCACTTTTAAATATCACAGACTTACAAATACGTATAATTTGTTCAAAAACACCACACTTTCTATAAATACCCATGGCAAGCAGCATTTCAAGCAGACTGTCTGCAGTATACTACTAATAACTAGGTATACCTATCGATAGAGTGCCAACGAGGAAATCATGCGCATTTTGCTTAGGAATAAAATTCCTTTTTTTCCCATTTGACCGTTTCTTGGTCCCTTCCTGTTGCAAGGATTATTTTCTTGAAAAGTTCTCAGGTTCAGTCTGGTGGCTTTACAAACCTGCTATGTAAAAGTGTGAAGTGCCTTGAAAGAATAAAGTCAGCTTTGCAAAGGAAGCGATCGGGAATATTATTAAGTCCAGCTACAAATCTACTGTCGGTTCGGTTTCACATTGTTGATAAATATTTGCACAGTTTAATCATTTAAACCTCCTTTCAAATTTCCCGAGGTTTTTTGTTATCGGATTGAAGCTTAGAATGATTCGCTGGGCCATGTGAAATGTTTTCAAGGACATGCGATGTACGGCACGTCGGTATTTAATTTTAGTTCATTATTTTTATACTGAAATCGGCCAGGTTTCGAAAATAATGGCGTTGTTTGCTTTTCCTTTGTCGTTCGCTTTAGGCTTGTAATTCGTTTTTGTTCTCATTGTTTTTGTTTGCTGGTTAGATTTTTTCCCCAACACCAGATTTTCCAACAGAAGCGACTGCATTCTTCGTGTCAAGCTTTCCTTATCTCCTCGTGTAATCTGATCCTTTTTAGTGGTGAGAATATTGCTTGCTGCACATAGAACACTTTTGCTGTTTTACAAACTTCTCTTCGTTAAAACTTAACATTATGGCCCCTAAAATTAATAGAATATATCAAGTGCTCATGTCTCTTGACTGCGGTGGCCGGGTTTGACGAAAAAATTTAGGTAAATAAACACAGGAAGTCACGACGGCGGGAAGTGTGTGAAATTTTGTTTGGTATTCGGCTTGAGCCCGTGCGCCAGGTACTGCCTTTTGATTGGTTCACAACTGACCACTTGGTCTCAGGGGAATCTACATTACATTGGGTTGGTTACACGTTTTTCAGCTCGATCGAGAATTTTTCTGCCTATTGCCCAGTCTTACGCGGCTCTATTCTGCTGCCGCTGTCACAGCGTTTTGGGCATCCCCATTCCCATATCCCTAGCGTTTTGGGTATCCCCTTCTCATATTACTGCAGCGTTTTTGGCATCCCCCGGTACCCTCCCGGGATGCCCAAATCCCTAGCGTTTTGGGCATCTCCTCCAAAACAATTTGGGATTTCGCGGGAAAATCGAAAACCTTTTAGAGATGGATTCCGCTAAATATACAAATCTGTTCCGGTATCTTAAAAATAAGGTTTATCCGGAAGGCTTTACAAAGCAGGACAAAACAATTCTTAGAAAATTCGCCAAAAAGTTTGAGTATGACTCAAAATTAGAGTCCTTGTTCTACGTGACCAAGGAGAAGGATGGCACAGCTCTTCGACGTCTTGTTATCGCCGAGGAAGATAAAGCGCGGGTCTTCGAAGAGTGCCACTCTGCTCCTTTTTCTGGACACGCCGGCCGCGATAAGACTCTGAGGAAAATCAAAGAGCGGTTTTACTGGCCTGACTACTACAAGGACACGATAGAAATGGTTACAGTGTAGTTACAAATGTTATTTATTTGCCAATTGATCGTGGATTTAAAACATCCGCGTTGATAATCGAAAACATACGCTAAATTTCTTCTGTTTTCAGTGTTCTTTGAAAGGGTGAGGCATAATTGCATCTTTTGGTAGGTTGTCAAAGGGCATTGTAGACCGGAGTCCTTCTTATAGATCCCGTTTGTTATTATTTTATGTCAAGCCAAAGATCAGAAGTTACATTTCTGAAGGGTCAAGATGACAGGTTTTTTTGTCAGTTGACCTAAGTGTGGCCTTGAACACCCATTTATGTCACGCCGGCTGTCACGCCCGTGCGCCAAGCACAACATCTCTTCTAGTGACCATCATTGGAGCGTCCATTTATCATAACTACATAACTACAGGACTTTTTTCTACGCATGCCTTTCCCTTGCACTGCAGGTTTTTTTTGGGGGGGGGGGGGAATTGTCACCCCACCCCCGGTTATTTCTGATGATTTGAGGCCTCTGTAATTGTGTGACAGCCTTTCCTGTATCAAGTAGCGCTGCGGGGTTAAGTTGTACAGGCCTCACATGTCATGAATACTATGTATGCAACACCGCAAAACGCAGTTTTATTCATGTTTACCTTTTGATTCCTTTGTTTAGTATTCTTGTTTTTGGCTGTTTGGAAGCAGACGATCGCAGCTGCTGGCGATTGCGGCATTGCTCGCTTGTAAACAGTTCTATTAAATAAAATTGAAAGCTTTGCAAATAATGAAGTGTTGTGCATCGAAGCGATGTTATGCGGTTGTAAATTTCAGTTTCGTCATGTTTTGAGCCAACGTTTACTGCCTATGGGTTTTTTTCTGCGCAATTAACCCGGCAAAAAGTGTCGGACGATATAATTCTAACATGCATCTACACTATTTAGCCGTAAATTCGTGATTAACAATCCCGACTTTTCCCCAGTCTGAAATAATTTAGGCAAAGTCGAAGTCCCGTAGCGTTTTGGGCATCCCCCACCGGGGATGCCCAAAACGCTAGGGATATGGGAATGGGGATGCCCAAAACGCGGGGATGCCCAAAACGCTGTGACACCGCCTCGCCATCCGAGCGTCTTCGCTCGGATGGCTCGTTGGCAATAAATAGACTTAATTAATGTGTCAAATGTCTAGCTTACTCGGAGTGTAAACTAATATTGTGGACACCTAACTACCTAAAAACGAAAATCAAACAACTAAAATAAACAAACTCGGAAAGCCTACGACTGATCTAAGCGCTCTTTCTTGGAGACTATCAATCTTCCGGCTATCAGATTTTCTAGAAAAGTGCCATACCGTCTTTATTTGTGGCAAAACCAAAGATTTGTAAATTCTAACCTCTGCTAATGTTGGTATTACATTTTTCAGTCTCATCATTACCCCTATTTTCCTAGATACTCTTTTAGATAGCTCATCCAAGTAGTGGCTAGTAAACTTCAGATGCTCATCAGAAGTGACACCCAACAGCTTCTTTCTACATATTTGTCAATTGATTTTCATTCCTTTGTTTATGTACCTCATTTGTAAGGATTACAAACTTACCAAGAGTTTTTGTTCGTTCATATCGTCAGATATCTTGAACTTGAGATTACATAGGTAACACCCACGCATAAAAGACGTAATTTTTTTCGTGTAGAACTATTAACAGGGAACAACACTACTTCTGTACTCGACACACCTCAGAAGACCAAATTAGAAAGTCTAGAAACTAAAAGCGGAAGACGCTCTTCACAGTTCAGTGACCGACATATCTGCTATTATACCCATACTGAACTGCGGGCAGTATCACGCGATCTCTGTTTGGTCACGCACTTCGGTACCCCGACATTCACTGCGGTCAAACGAGGCCTGAGCAAACTCGTCCCCAGCAGGGCGCTTTTCCATAGAAGCCGGGGAAAAGCGCCCTACGGAGGAGGTTGGAGGAGAGAGTTGTCTGTAGCAACAAAAGTATAAATATACATACCAAATAAGGCTAAAAGACGGCAAAACACGAATCTTACCGTTTTTGTAAATGATTCACACTTGAAAGGCCTGTAACCCTCCGTGCTGATCCACGTCCCTGGTGTCATTAGTTCTAAGGTGGGCGGAGCTGGAAGAAAACGTTCTACCAAACAGTCATTCAACAGGCCAGAGGAGAACGCAAACAAACTAAAAAAAACGTTACCTTAACCAGAATGAAACTCTTGCCCATGACCAGGGGCACCCAACGAGCATACAGTTCAAAACCACTTAAACATAGCATTGTTAAACGTATTTTAGTATTTATTTAGTAGATATAGGCATATTTTTATCCCCTAAAAATTTTTCATCTGTTCGGATTTCCTAGCTGAAAGTCTAGAGATCCGAAAATTATATGATCAAAACTTACCTTTTCGAAAATTTCAGCCAGAAAAAAGGTTCCCGAAAATTCTAGGTGAAACGTTAAAAATGGGCAATTATACCAATTTATAGATGTTCGAAAATCCTAGGAGAGGTAGGCAAGCAAGAAATTTTACAAAAAATGTTCCGAAAATTCTAGATCTCAAATCGTCTTCCGAACAGATACTTTTCGAAAATTGACGTTAGGTGCCCCTGATGAATTACTTCCAAAAACTACACCGGTGGATAAATGCTTCTTACAGGTTGATTATATAGCTTGAAGGCTAAATACAATTTTGACTTGACAAATAAGTTTACGCTCAATAAATATTAACAGGTTTTATACGGTTAGAGAAACTAAGACTACAGAATAAAGGATTTCCCAACCTCGTCCACAGGGCCGCGCTTTTCCCTGGCTTTGGAGGTGGAGCGCCATTATGATACCTCCAAAGCCAGGGAAAAGCGCCCTGGGGACGAGGTTGAGGATTTCTGCATTGGCTTTTCATATATTTTTATCAGCGAAAGACACAACGTAATAACAATAAATCCTCTCTTCACAGTTCTAAGTACGCGAGATCATAGTCAACTTCGTTCAAATCAGCTGATAACAAATTTAAAAGTTTTATCTTTTTAATAAGCTTCGTTATCGCCAGTCCCGTTTTCATAAGTAGGACCAGCATTTTCGGTTTTCTTTACCGAGGATACCCATATCATTAGCAATGTGGGTAGAGGGATACCCTAAATAAGGGAATGACGGTGGGCAGGATTATTATCTCCAGTTCCAATCTCGGCTCTTTTGCTCCTTCCAGTTCTGCTGAACCCGCGTCTCATGTCCAATACTCAGCATTTGTTTCGGAATTTGTTCAAGTCGTAAAAGTATGATTGCAAGAGGTACAAGTCAGTGGCGGAGTCAAGTGACTGCTCCATCTGTTTCTTACCGCGAAAGCCTGTACGGAGATCCGAGTAACTACACAGGACAACAGTACTGTAGTCATCGGCAGGAGCATGGAATGGTCTTCCGATCTCCGGTCAGACATCATCGTGGAACCCCAGGGGTATTTTCACGAGGTCAATCTATCTGTTTACTGCACTAATACTGATCATGCTGGTGCACCACTTCAAAACTGGACAAATAGATACACCGTCATCTACCTCAATGCTTTCGGTTTGGATGTTGCCAGTGGTGGAATGAATAGCGAGGGATTGACTGTGGGTGCGCTTTATTTACCCGACCTTACCAAGTACCAGGTACATATCTAGTCTAAATAGTGACGCCTATTAAGCCCGCGTATAACGCTCCGCCCTCGCGCGCAAACGAATTGTCGAAAAAAAGGAAGAAAAATGTCTGTGGATAGGTTAGAGTAAATGTTTTGACCCTGCCTTTGTTACCCTTAGTTTGGCTTTCTTTTTGCCGCGAGAATTGGCGAGCAGCAACACTGTGATTGTCTGATGGGGCCTGGGCACTTAAGATCTGCGTAAATGTCTCGAATTCCCACAGTGATTACTTTTTTAGAAAGAAAACCTAAGACACTATGACCCACGCCTTCTATGAGAGACGTTGCCTTGTCCCTATTTCCAGGCCTTTTCGGTCAATGCATGTCGATGACGTATCCGAGGCGAACGGCCGGGAGACTCGCTAGGACCACGTGACTCGAAACGCATAACCCGCAGAAAATAATGAGGCGTAGGGACTAGGAAATGACAGATGGATTGATCCCTGGGTAAAGAGCGCCATGCACGCGGTTAAAACGTCGAACGCCCGGGAGCACCTGGGAGGGCAGGGATGCTCCGCTCGAAAAGGCTGCCCGTGCTTTTCCAGGCTAGAGCTACGGAAAAGAGCTGGGATCAACGAGTTCAGGCATGAAAAGAGGTACTTGTCTCTGTAAGGTAAAAAACATAAAAGATCAATCTCTTCCCTAGGGCTTTTCCCTAAGAAAATGTGATGGGCGGGAATTTCACATTTTCCACAGCGCTAATTTATTACATCCAAGATTTTAGAGTGCACGAGAGGACACGTGATCAGCCGATGCTGTGCTTTTCCTGCTCCTCCCATTTTCTAAGGGTAAAGCCCTGGGGACAAGGTTGTAAAAAGGTGAGGGCTTGGGGCTCAGGACAATCCTTTCTTGATGGAGCTCCGTCATTGTCCCTAGCACATGTCAATATGCACTAGTCGCTCATCACTCAATTGAAAACTTTATAAAAACTAGTCGACCAGTTCTTTAAAATTAGCGATTGTACTCGATACGGGTGTCAAAAAAGCAATTGGCTATTTCCGAATAATCCAAGTTACCACTCTTTCTCAAACGAAGGTAAGTGCAATCTGTTCTCATGCAAACAGCTGATGCAAAAGAGTTCAGTATTGCATTTAACTCCTCTTCCATGGTAAAGGGCTTTGGATCTTTCTCAAGCGACTGCCTCCTCCTTTCGTATATGCTACTAAGTGCGTTTTAAAATGTATTTTACTCTTCTCGTTTGTAACATAGGAAGTTTTTGAGAGCTTGTAGAACAAATCGTGCATATCTAATTTACAACTTCCTCAATTGATTCGGGGAAAGTTCGCGACCGTCCAGGAGGTACAAGAGGCATTGAACAACGGATCGTTCCCGCTGGTGTTTGATCAAAAGGTCAATTTGCCGGGAATAGACACCCTAGAAATTCACTACACCATTTACGACAAAACTGGAGCAGGCATCATAATCGCGTTCACTAACAGGGGGAGAACAGTTTACGAAAACACCGTCTGCGAGTGTACCAACTCTCCGCCGTATGATTTCCATATGATTAACCTTCGTAATTATGTTGAACTCAACAAAACCGCACACGAGGCTTTGCATTTGGGCGAAGATGTTTTCACACCCCTCGGTCAAGGCAGTGGTTTGCTTGGTACCCCAGGCGATTTGACACCTCCCTCCAGACTGGTTCGCGCCGCTACGCTGACTCACTTTGCTGATCCGGTTAAGACGAGCGACGAGGCCGTAAACTTGGATATCCATATCCTGAATACTGTGGATATTCCCCATGGAGTTGCCAGCGAAGACTATACCAACTGAATTGTGGCTAAGGACCTTACCCATAAGGTGTTGCACTATCGTACCTACAATGATCTGACTGTCCGCGTGATATATCTTGACAAAGTACAGCCACGGTGGAAAATGCTCAAGCTCTTGCTGTCGACACCGGTCGGGGGCTTTAAGGATACCACCGAGGAGTTGAAAAGTGTTAATGGAGGGCACACCGAACTGTAAGGGGTGTTATGGGTATCCACTGCTCGAGTGTGTGCGAGTAGAAAGATCCACCAGACGCTGCCCGCGCAGCAGACGCCGTGTCATCCTCGCTGTCGAACGGCGCTAATTTTCCTGGTTACAAATTAACTGTTCCCTTATCATAAGCCCTTCACGCCAGCGGATTCTACACACGTGAAAATCCCCCCACCCCGCCCTGAGCTTAATCTTTAGGGAGGTCAGAGTTGCCCAAATTTTTCTTTGTAGTGACAGTCATGCGAGTGAAACAGTCAACCACGCCTGAGAACACCAGTCTCTATCGAGAGTTGTAGTTTCTCGTATTATCTATGACCATCGCATTTGTCACCCGAAATCTCAGGTTTTCTTCGCTTGTCTACGCATACTAAGAAAAGCAATTCTTGGCCTTGATAAATAGCCGTTAATTAAGTTCCTTGCGGGCTTAACCTAGAGAGTAGATCCGATTTGTTTTTGAGCAAACACCAATATTGAAGTCTTTAGAACCGTGGCACCATTAAACATTGAAAAATTACATCAAAGTTGTAAACAGTTTTTTTCGAGTTACAATTAACAGTATGGCTACCCAAGGTTGAGCCTTCGTATGAGGCGCTTGGAACGCCTTCTACGCAGGTTGCCCAAGGGTGATCTAGTCCACATTTCAACCACCTACGTAGAACGATGCCCCTTGTACCCCTTATGACGTCATCAAAACGCCGGGGAACGGGGGGCGCGAAAATAAGTGACTTCGGCCGGAGTGCGAAGGAGGCTAATTATAACGTTTCGAATGCTAGCTGTTAGTCAAAGCGAGTCATTCGTTCCATTGCCGGCTTTTCAATCGTTTTAAAGTGGCAAATTCACGTTATCAACTCAAGGAATACGAACATATTTGATTAAAATTGCTCATCTATCGGTATTCTGGCAGAAAGCTTTAGAAAAAAAATAGCAAACCTTAAGACACTTGCCAGGTGTGTTCTAGAATGTGGCATTAGGCGATTTCCGTGAAAACAATGCCGTAGGAAATTTCTGTCAGTGCGCTCTTTCCACCGCAGAGGCCCCACGTGTCGTGGGGAGGCTGGGGCGGGAAAAAAGAGAGCGCGCGCGCACGACCTCCCCGCGCGCTTGCTACGTTTTGATTATGGATACCAAGCGGGAGCCTCTGAGGATGAGAGAGGTCAGTGCGACAAAAGGGGCGCGGAAATGATCTGAAATAAACGTAGAACGTTGTTCATACAGGTAAGAATCGATCTCGAGGCGAGATTAATTATCACCCTACTTTTTAAATGTGAGGTCGAAATCTCATGGTGTTACCGCTCAAATGAAACCTCTTCGGTAAAACGTTTGTATAGTACTACAGATTTCTTACACTTGACAAAACAAAAATTTGAGTATTATTTCCACGGGAATTTTTTAGGCCACTATTAGGTCTATGAGGAGTAACAGGGTTAAAATTTTAAAAAGTCAAAAATACCCGTTAGTGAACAGCCTTCCCTATTTTCTAACCTTACAAAAAAGAAAAAAAACATTTAACAGTCTCGGATCCCATACATTAAGAAGACGGGCTCTGTTATTCAGTTATATCTGTGTGACTGTGTTACTCGCTAGTTGGCTCATTGTGTTCTGTGTTCTTATCAACAGTACTAGCGGATAAAATAGCAGAATACTGACACGACCATCACAGCGTTTCTGATTGGAAAGTTACCGTATTTTCTCTTATGATAAGCGCGCATGCTCTAATAAGCGACCTCCCCTTGGACCCGTCCCCCTCCCCCTCGAATAAGGGCCCCCCTCACTTTCTTAAATAGTAGCAGGAGCAGATTAGTAATCAGCTCCTGATAGTAAGGATACAAGGGGAATGCGAAGATCCATATATCACTGAAGAGTATGATCTCGATGGATGATGAGATAATGGCTAATTTATAAACATGCACGCATACTGATACATTTGAGAGTTAACCCTTTGAGTCCTAATCAATCTGAGTCCCAATATTGACCAACATTAATTTTCTCCTAACAATATCCATATGTTGCCAAGAGAAATGGTTATGAGAGTTAATAAAATGATCACTAAACACTCTCAACTAATTATTTAAAACAATGCATCATGAAGATAATATTACTTTTAGCCGAAACAAAGTTACACTTCGTTAAAGGAAAACTTCATGAGCGCCTCCATGGATTAAGCGCCCTCCTTACAATTAGCGCCCCTGTTTTACGTCAAAGAGTTAGCACGCTTACATGTACCACTGCAGTTAATCATATCAATATTT